GGGGGGGGGTCCAAGGCTTCCTTCTGCCACACATAAAACAACCATAAGTATCGCTAAACCTACAGTCAGTTTAAAACAATTCAGTCAAGTGAGCCGTTCCAAGGCCTTCTGGAATCAGAGCGTTTCCGCTGACCTCCGGAAGAAGACCCATGGTGGAGAGTAGTGTGTGCCTCGCCTGCTGGGGGGAGTGAGGGGAGGGGGCCGTCTGCAAGCCTTTCTGGGCGGGGGGGGCAGGTTCCCACAGAAAGGCCTCTCCCACGGATCTTCAGGCCAGGCCGGTCAAGATGGGAGGCGTTTTTATTCCTTTCCCTGGCTTGTCGGTCAGTGCAGTTGACTGTTTCGTGCAGGATAATGAAACTGCGACATGCAAGAAACCTTTTTACAGAGAAGGGAGAACAGGATTTCTTAAATAGAAGCAAACCAGCGCTCGTGCACGTATGTTGTACATGCAAGAAGTTCCTGCCCTTGACGAGTCCACTCCTGCTTCTGGGATTGTTTCAGGTGATAGCCGTGCCTGTCTGCAGTCGAACCTTGCAGGCCACCAAGAGTGCCCAAAGGTGTCTGGCAAAGAGAGCTCTGACTCTCAAAAGCTCATGCCCCGAAAATCCGACGGGCCTCTAAGGTGCCGCCACTGGACTCAAACCTGACATGTTTCTGAGAGTGTCCCGTAGGAGCGGAATGGGCCCTCCCCTGGGCGCTTGCTGCCTGCTGTGCTGCGACAACAGTCTGGTCTTCCCGTCAGTGTTTCCAGCGGCTGGCTTGCTGGCTGGCTGAGAACCTTCTCAGTCCCCGGGCATAAAAGCCCCCATGCGCGTGCATGCAGAAGGCCACAGTCAGCGCCTTCCGCCTTGCATCGCACGTGGCTGACCACACAGCTAGGGCTGGACCTCTCCGTGACACAGTGGACATTCGACATGCTTTGTTTTGCCCCTCCTTCTCTTCTTCAGCAGTCATTCAATGACAAGCGTAAAAAGAACCTCTTTTCCCGAAAATTCCCCTTCTACAAGAACAAGGACCAGAGTGAGCAGGAGACCAGTGATGTTGACCGTAAGTACGTGGGTGGGGGGAGACCGGAAGAGAGAGAGAGAGAGAGAGGTGACCGTATCCATGGGCCTGCCTGGTGTGCCGCAGGGGGTTCCCTTGGAGGCGGTTCCAAGAGCCGCAGCAGGGGACTGTCGTGGACCAGAGAGAGGCTGTGTGTGCATCAGGTGGCCGGCTTGGAGAGCCAGGCTGCTCCTCAGGGGGAAAGGTTCCCTGCCTTCTGATTGTGACGATCGATTACAGTGGCTGTGGGGAGACCCTCCCATCGTACCCTAGAACCGATGGAGGGTGGTTTCCCGAGAGTCCACTTTCTTGCTCTTGAATTGGTGCCTGGCTAAATTTTTGAGCGGGTCTCTTTGTCCCCTGCGGGGGTTCTCTTGGAACCGCCTTGTTGTAGCACCTCTGTTATATGCTACTGACGGTTGTTTTCTCTGTGATTGTCTCTCTCTCTCTTGCTTGCCCTCTGGGAACTACTCTGCAGGAGATCCCTGAGGACATGGGATCAAAAGGCCTGAGTAAGTGAGCCACCTGAACCAGTCCCGCCGCCACCCTCCGAGCCTCCCTCCCGCCCGCCCGCACGCCCGCTTCACTCTGCCAGGACATCATGTCTTGTGAGCGCTGCTGGGCTCGGGAGCGTCTTCCTGCCAGATCCCTCCGCTGGGCTCCTGCTCCTTTTCAGGAGTTTGCCTTCTCATTTGGATCCCACGACCCTCCCCTGCCTCCCGCTTTTTGACCAGGAAGCCTTTCCACGCCTCCGTGGTTACAAGCATGTCTACTCACCTGGCGGGTTTGCATTACCCTTCTCGTTGCTAGTAATGCACGGGCTGCCTGAACTGGGATAAGGTCTTCCCCACGAGGCAGAAACCGGGTCCCAGGCATGGCTCTATGGAGCCAGCAGGTTGGTGTCACAAAGAGCAAACAAAACAAAAGCAGCATCAGCGTGGGAGGCGCTTGGTCTCCTCTTTGAGCATGCTTCCTGGCACGCCAGATGGGGTGTCTTGTGCAGTCTCCCCCTTCCCCCCCCCATGCCTCCTGGATGAGGCGCACGCAACGAGGAGGGCCTCTCGTCTGCCCTGACGAGGACGGCAGAGAGCTTGTTGGACGAGAAGACCTCTGCCTGCCCGGGATGTCCCCTGGGCTGCCCCCGGGCGCCTGGTTGCTGTGCAGCCCTGCGGCACAGGCTTGTGGGGGAGCGTGGAGGGCTGCGTGCCCCACCCTGAGCTCCTTGGGGGGAGGGACGGCTAAAATGTGGCCCACCTCATAAAGCACATCCAGTTGAGGCAGACGGCAGAACAGGAAGCTGTCGATGCAGCTGGGTTTGCCCACAGGCCACCGGCTCAGCTGAAAGGGGGCAGGAATGGGCCGTGGCCAATAAGAGTGGGGGGCCCGGGTCTCCCCCACCCCCACCCACCCCGGCACTCCAGGAAGCCTCCGGCTGAGCTGCGGCCCGGCCTTGCAGGCCCAACAAAACCATCAGAAGGCTGCTTCTCTGCAGGGCAGGAGTCCTCCGCTGGTTTCTTCAGTGTCCTTCAGCTCTTCTGTGCATTCTAAGAACTTTCTCTGTGTCCCACGGGGCTGTTTTTGAACTGTATCATGAAGTCTCGAGTGCATGAAACTTGAGCCGCAGGCCAGCCGGTCTGATCTACACGCAACAGCTGGGCTGTGGGATTCCTTTTATGAGGACCAAACGAAAAATTGCCAAGTATGGCTTGGTCTTAAAGGAAGTTATCCCCCCCCCCCCCCCCCCCACGCTGTTGCTTCTTCTGGGTTACTCCCGGCCATTTCTGCCCCTTTGGTCCACACTTCTGTTCAGAATCCATGCTGTTCCGTGGCAGTCCCTCACTCTCCCCTTTTCTCTGTTGCCTTTCCAGAACAGGTAACGTCTAACGCCAGTGACAGTGAGAGTAGCTACCGTAAGTATGTGTTTTTTTCACTTTCCTCTTTGGATGGTAGCTTAAGAGGCGGAGATTTCTTCCCTGGTGGTGACACGATAAGACTCCAGGGGCCCTTTTGCAAGCTGCCTCCTCTCTGGAGCCGTTTTCATGTGGAAGTTTTGGTCCAGGCCTGATGAGCTTTGAAGCTTGTGTTGAACCTCTTGAGGTCCCCATCCTGCTTTTCTTCCGAGGAGGTCAGGCTAGCTGCCTCCTCTCTGGCATTCTTTTCTGTTAGATTGGGCAGGATCCAAGCCACAAACAGCCCCTCCCCTGCGTTTGTGCCTGCTCACTCGCGCCCAGGTGCTCACAACCAGGTGCTCCCATGAGCCATCTTATAAAGCACCACCCTGAAAGAGGAGCTCAGGCTGACCACTCACTTCCTTGCCAGCCTGCCCACCTCCGGGTGTTTCAATGAGTTCACATTTCAGTTATTTCAAACCTTTAAGTGGAAATCTATTAACGCAGCCCTCTCTGAAGTCTCTTAATTCCGTGTACACGGTTTCGTCTGCCTTCCTCAGTGGACCGTGCAGGAACCTCTTCCTTGATCATTTTTACTTACTTTCTTTATTAGCTTCTATGACCGAAGGCCCTCAGCTCAGCCAAAGAGATCTGTTATCACACACAGATGTACCGCACTACTCTCAAAATTCAAATTCATAATCAGAATAGTCAAATCTGAAAATTCTAAGATGTTAAAACAGAAGTCACTGATAAAAACTATTATTCGTTTAAAGAGATCATATTAGCTAAGTATATATACCAAATTCTGTTACAGTCGTGTCAGACCAGATTTTTGTCGCTTTACCGATAAAACTATCGTTAAAATTTTTGTAACAAAATAAGTGGATTCAGGGTTATTATCTGCCAACAAATAGGTGGCCACCCAAAGTTCAGTGGGTAATCAGTATTTTTAAATTTTATTTTATTTTGTTTGTTTAATTTGTATCCCGCCCACCCCGCCGTGGCAGGCTCAGGGCGGCTCACAGAACACACACACACACACACACACATGTTAAAACAACAAGATATGTTAAGACACAGAAAATTGAATTAAAACCACAGCATATAAAATTTAGGTGTTAAGGAACATAAGTATCCATAAAAGATGGCGGCATTCTCTCAACGTCCAGATGGTCATCTACCATCATAATCCAGGTTCTTGCCAGACTGTTAGTTATTAAGTTAGTGCTGATGTTGGGGGGCCAGGGCCACGCTACTGAAAGGTGGCACCCTAATCAAAAGCCTGGCGGAAGAGCTCCGTTTTACAGGCCCCGCGGAACTGTAGGAGGTCCCGCGGGGCCCCAATGTCATCCGGGAGCTCATTCCACCAGTTAGGGGCCACTACAGGAAAGGCCCTGGCCCCCGTCACAGCTAGCCTGGCTTCTTTAGGGCCTGGGTGGGCCAGACGGTTTTGGGACCCCAATCTTAGTGCTCTCTGGGGAACATGTGGGGAAAGGCGGTCCCTTAGGTAAGTAGGTCCCTGACCATACAGGGCTTTGAAGGTAAGAACCAAAACCTTGAACCCAATCCAGTATGCTATAGGCAGCCAGTGCAGTGCTTTTAGGGCAGGCTGGATGTGCTCCCGCACAGGAAGACACGCAACAACAGTCTTGCCGCTTTATTCTGCACCAGCTGCCGCTTCCGGATTTGGGACAAGGGCAGCCCCATGTAGAGAGCATTGCAGTAATCCAGTCTCGAGGTGACCACTGCATGGTTCACTGTTGCCAGGTCATTGCGTTCAAGGAAGGGAACCAACTGCTGATTTTAGTAACAAGTTGCGTATACTAGTTAACAGATGAACAATTTTATATTTGAGTTCCTTAAGAATCCTCAAGTGTATACCACCTGGGCCTGGAGACCTACCAATTTTCAGTTTGCCAGGTGGTCCTAGAACTTCATCTCTCACTACCTCCATTTGACCCAGTTCTTCAGACAGCCTTCCCCACAACAGCAGTGGCTCCCGTGTGAGTATGTGACCCACAGTTTCCACAGTGAAAATGGGTGCAAGGAATTCATTCAGTTTCTCAGCCATCTCACCATCTTCCTTAAGTAATCCTTTCATTGCTTTGTCATTCAACAGCCAAATTGCTTCCTCGGTTGGTTTCCTGCTTCTGATGTATTTATGTTTTTTGCTATCCTCTGGTCAAAGAGTCTCTCTTTGCCTGCTGTATGGGCATCTTGCATTTGTTTTGTCAGAAGCTGTGCTCCTTTTTGTGCACCTCACTTGGCCAAACCTTCCACTTTTTAGAGGAAGCGTTTCTGCCTTTGGGGGCTTCCTTGACTCGGGTTGTTACCCATGCCAGCCTCCTTTTAGACCTGATGGCACCTTTCCTGACTGGAGGGACCTCAGTCAAAGTTGGGTGCCAGGCAACATAGATGGGTTGGCTGAACGGCTGCATTAGTTTGTGTGACAGTGTGAATAGTAGCAGCTAGAATGCTCGTGGCCCAAAATTGGACACGGCAGAGTTTGCCTTACTCGGATCTGGTTAGGAGAACGTGGCTGATCCCATGAATGGACAAGAGAGATCACTGCTGGAACCGGGAGAGAGAAAAGAGACAGGCACAGACTTTGTTCCCTGTGGGTCTCTTTTTCATTGAGTATTGAAATCGGAGGCTTCTAGCAGAAGCAGTATTGATCACACTTTGTCTTTCTGAAGAGGGTTGTATAATTAGTGTAGGAGTTTAAAAATCTGCTTGTTTATAGACATCCCTTTGTATGGGGGTAATATGCCTATGTGTTTTGTTTTCCTGCAGTAAGGGGGGGGGCAGCTTTCATCCACTAAACCTTCTCAGGGACAATCCTGTGAGGAGGTAGGCTGGACTGAGCGGGTGTGACTCGCCCAAGGTGGTTTCCCCCCCTCAGCCCCCACGGGGGGGGGGGGAAAGAAACGGGGGTTCAGCCCTGGGTGTCCCAGAGCCTCGTCTCGCCACTGTGCCTCACGGGCTCGCAAAGTTCTCCTTGTAGAGTATTCCACTTAGTACTCACTGCCTAAACGTTGTTGTACAAATGCTTTCATGTATTGCTTGAAATAATGTATTTTCTGTCCAACTTTCCAGGTGGCCAAGAGGAGTTTGTCCTGTCTTACGAGCCTGTCACTCAGCAAGAAGGTCGGTATCCCCTTGCTCAGGACACAACGTGCAGCCAGGCAGTCAGGGAAGCAAAGGGGCGGCAAGATGGGAGGGAGGTTCATGTGTTTTGGCTCTCCTCTCAGTCCTCCCTAGGCTGCTGGAGGCTTCGTTTCTTATACTATTTATGGCTGCTTCAGAACCAAGGCAGAGGGAACTCACGCGTGGGTGGGACAGTTAGGCAGGACTGTAGCCTTCCCAAGAAGCCGTGAAATGAGTGAGGAGAGCGAGAGGGAGCAACAAAGTGCCGACATCAAAAGCTGGGCTGTGTGAAACATGGCAAAGGGCCTCTTGTGAGAACTTGCCAGTCACCAGGTCTCCAGCCGCAGCGTGGTGCAACTGCAGCATTATGTGCAGGGAGCACCACAGGCCTTTTCTGGCAAAGCAGGGAGGGGCTGTCCCAGCCTCCTCCGTGGCCACTGGACGCTTCAGGGAGTGCCCAAGGGCTTGCTTCTGCTAGGCAGTGAAAATGCTCTGCCAAACACACGTTGGGAGCACTGGGTAAAAACCGGCCCATTTATCCCCCATCCCCCAAATAACCCATGTGCTGCATGAGCACATGTAACCTGGTTTGCTGTGACTCATGTTGAGAATATCCAGCATTAAGCCCAAGATGTGACGGAGGTTGTCCTGTGATGTTCCCTGGCCAAAACACGAGTCATGAATTAAGTATGAAGACTGTAGAGGAGAAATTCTGGATCAACAGAAGCACAGTGTTCAGATCATGCGAAGTGATGATGGTACCACTTTGCTCTGCTCTGGTTAGACCTTTTACCTAGAGTGCTGTGTTCAGTTTGGGGCACCACAAGTTAAGAAGGATCTAGACAAGCTGGAACGTGTCCCGAGGAGGGCAGTGAAGAGGGTGGGGGGTCTGGAGACCAAGTCCTGTGAGGAAAGGCTGAAGGAGCCGGGTCTGTGTAGCCTGGAGAGGAGACGACTGAGAGGTGAGATGATCACCATCTTCAACTACTTGAAGGCCTCTCAGATAGAGGGTGGTATAGAGTTGTTTTCTGTTATCCCAGAAGGTGTGACTACAACTAATGGGTCGAAACGAAATCAGAAGAGTTTTTGGCTAAACATGAGGAAGAACTGCCTGACAGTTAGAGCGAGCGGTTCCTCAGTGGAACAGGCTTCCTCGGGAGGTAGTGGGCTCTCCTTCTTGGGAGGTTTTCAAGCAGAGGCCAGGTGGCCCCACCTGACAGCCATGCGGATTGTGTGAACTCGGGCAGATCATGCTGAGAGGGAGGGCAGGAGGGGTTCCCTCAGTGCTTAGTCCTCGTGGCCCTTCCTTACATGCCCAGGGAAATGCTGATCACCACTTTGGGGTTAGGAAGCAATTTTTCTCCGGGCCAGTTTGGCTGGAGATCCTGGAGGTTTTTCTGTCGTCTTCTGGGTGTGGAACAGTGGTCAGTGGGGGTGTGGAGGGGGAGGGTATTTGTGAACTTCCTGCATTGTGCAGGGGGTTGGACTAGATGACCCTGGAGATCCCTTCCAACTCTATGGTTCTATTCTTCTAAATTCTTATACTGCAAATTCTGCATTTAATTTAGTGTTTCATCTCCATATCTCTGCCTGCCTCCTCCTCCTCCTGAACCATTTCAGTGGTCCAGTTGAAACAGAAGGGAGAACAGTCAGATCACAGATTTCAAAGAATCTCTCCAAACAGCTGAGTGCTTCATTCAGGCTTTAGCACCTTTGCCATACCTCCAGCTAGGAAACGAATCCTGACCCCTCACATGTCATTGTCCGGTGGGCGCTAACTGATGAACCAGCTGGAGTGACAGGTTGCCGGGCAGCCCAAAAACAGAGCCGGGGCCTCAGTCC